ATATGTACTTTTTACATCATCTGAGTGCTATTTGTGTCTTTCTGACTGAGCCAGTCTTAAGCTTGCTTGTTTTAGGGGGAGCAAGCAAGTTGGTGAATCTTATAATCTATTTATGTTCCTTCCCTGTCTGTGGTCTGTTTTTTTTCTAGCTTGTTGGGGAATAAGTTATAGTGATCCGTTGTTACACTGCTGTGCTTTTTGCTAGTGGCTTATGGTATAACCAAAATTTAATTTCCGGGTGGATTCCCATGCACCTGAGGTGTGGTTGTAATTCTAAATGCTCACTGAAAACTTTGAAAGTGAAGATACTGATGTTTGACCTAATTTTAATTAAAATCTGAGAAAAAAAAAGAATTGTCTTTCTGTATAAATAATGATATGAGCTCTGGAGTATCCGGTTGTCAAATGGTGGAAACACAGCAGTTTTGACACAAAATGCTCTATAATTTCCTATGCATTCTGCATTGTTCCTGAGGTGACAGTGGCAGCTGTTGAGTAGGCTCTTCAAAGCTTCTGTTTACAGAATATAAAATAAAAAATCTTAGATTTGAAATAAGATACTGTTTTTTTTTTGTTTGTTTAAATATATGCTTAAAAATGTTAGATCTTAGATTTGAAACAAGATAATTTTTTTTTTTGTTTAAATATATGCTTAAAAATGTTAGAATGCCACATTTTAACACGTATCTTCACGTTAGTAATTTCTTCACTGTCAGGAGCTGTCAGCTGTTAATACATCTCTCGGTTGTGGTTGATGCGTGTTCCCCGTGACTGAGGAGGAGAGCAAGCAGGTTTGTCAGATGGCACTAATGTTTTGAGACAAACCTCAGGGCTGGCATTTGGCATAGCTTCACAGGAGCTCTCTGTTCTTTCGTTCTACAGTACCGCACCAGATGGATGGGCACAGTTTCCTTCTCTTAGCAGAGATCACTGAAGGTTTTCCTGTTGACATCATTCATACGAGAACCTGTCAGCACATTAACCTTCAGATATTTGTGTTTCTGGAAGGTGGAAGCTGATCGGTTAGGTGTATTGGTAGCTTTTCAGGAAGGGTGACTTGCAGTGTTCTTAGGTTAGTACTTCTAGATGTATGTTTCCACGCTCTGTATTTCGGAGATAGAAACTCTCTGAAGCTTCAACAAAGCGTTCCCTGGAACTTTGTATCAACAGGAATGGTTAAATTTTTTTTTTTTTTTGAAACCTTTATTTTTACTGGTACTCCTGTTTTTCCAGGCTGGCTGTTGCAGGCTGTTGTGAGGAGAATGGTAGGAGTGAGGTGGAACTGTGTAACTCTGCTTGTTAATGTCTTCTCTTTCGTGAGAGAGAATTGGGAAAAGTTAATGTGAGAGCATAACTGAATCTTTCATTAAAAATGGTATTTTCCTAGTAACAGTCTCTGAGTGTGGCTTGAGGTCGTGTTTCAGGTAATGACTGAAGTTAGCTTTGTGTGGTCATTAGTTGTACAAATGGATGAAATTGATTTTAGGATGTGGTGTTTGTGACTTCACTGCACCATGCATGCGAAAGGATGGAGCTAAACATACTCTTGTTGTTAAGGCCTTTTGAAGTCTCAGGAAGTGCATCTTGAATAGCTTCAGTATGGGGAATCTTGAGGCTGTTCCAGAGCTTCTCAGTTTCTAATTACCAATGGCTGTTCCTTGGATGAAAGCTAGCTTTTAAGTATCTAGTTCTTAACTTGGTTGGGACCAAGCTTTGCTAGTTCTTTGTTCTGTTGCCTTTTCTTGCTTGACGGCTCATACTCTGTTCTTTCTTCCCTGCCTCCCCTGCCCAATAACAGCTGCCCCATTTACTTGCTCTGTAGCTTCTCCTTTGACCCTTCTAATGCCATCTGAGACCTAAAACCAGTGCTCAGTGCCGTAGAGCAGGTGTTAACATTCAAATGCAGAGCTGATTCTTCCTATCTCCTGCTTTCTGCAGATAGCAACTATGAACAATCCCTCTTTTATTTCTGCCTGGTGTTGGTGCACCATTAAGGAAATCCCTACAGAAGGTTGCTCCTTTCTCTTTTGTTTTTCCAACTGTACTGTGCTGTTCTTCACTGCCAAGCTTTGGCAGATGGAGAAAGCTGAAGGAGGAACTACATGATATTTCCACCCGAGTGAGTTGATGTTGATGGTCCTCATCTGAGGCAAGCAAACTCAGTTTTGCTTTTTCTCTGACAGATTAAAAAGATACTCTTGCATCTGGTTGTTGCAGCCAGCCAGAATGTCTTCCAGGTCTTCATTTCCCTGCTTTTTCTTTTCTTCTGCTCTTCAAGTCTCACTTTTCCCTGTGGCTTAATATGGAATGAAACTATCTAAGTGATACCGTGTGTTCTGAAATATTTAATTGTGCTGTGGACTTCCCTGAGGGTACTGCCATTATTGACTCCGTATTTGCATATTTAACTAGTTTTGTGTCATTGAAACTAATTTTTGTGCTTTTCATTTCCATTCCTTTTTAACCCCTGCCTCTTCCTGATGGTTGTAGTGTGATCAACAAGTCCGGTGTGAATCGTGTTGTTTGGAAGAGGCCTCGCCTGACTCACAATGGCCCTGTGCGCCGCAGCACCATCATTGACCAGATTCCTTTCCTGGCAGTTGCTAGAGCACTGGGTAAGTCATGCTCGTGTTTGGAACGTGAGACACCACTGCATACAGGCCACCAGCACGGAGTTATACCCTGTTTTGCCAAAACATAGAGTTTGGAAGGATTCACTCACTTGCCTTGATTACAAGGCCTTCTGAAAGTCTGGGCCTTTTAAAAGTATTTTTAATACAGTATGGATTTTATTTTTCAAATAAAGCTGTAAAAGGTGTCATTGGTAAGTGAAAGACTCACTCTGCAACATGCAGGATTTTCAGTGTTGGTCTTAAAGGATGGTACTTCATCTCTGTTGCAAATGAAAATGTACAAAGCAGTATGTGTCTCCAAGATGGAGAGAACACTTGTCTTTTTCTTACTGAAAAAGACTAATATTTGATAGGGGGGTGGTAAGAATAAATTTTTCTGTATAGCATATGAATTACTTGGGTACTCTGTTTGTGGTTAGTCTGTTTCTTTCAAGACTTAGCATAGAATGAACAAAGGGATGAAAGTCAAGTCTGTGTTTTATCTATAACTTGGCTTTGTGAGAGTATTAATAATGGGAAACTGTCTCTGAGGAACACTTTATTCAGAGGACAAAAAGGCATATTACAGTACATAGCAAACTTGTTATGAATGGTTTTTGGGAAGTACTTCATGACTTAATCTTTGGATACCTCTTGCCTTTGAGTGTGTTTTCTGATCAGGTTTTTTCCTTAAATTTCATTGCAGAGCACCAATCTTCTATAGTTTATTTTTTTTCCTTCCTTCCTCCCTTTGCCCCAGTGAAGAATTTTCTGTCTGGATATACGCAGTATAGATTTGATTTTATGGAAATGTGTTATCATATTTTTACCTGTGAAAACTGTCCTGTGACTTAATTTCTTCTTGGCAAGCTTGACAGTTATGTGATAGTGTTGTCAGTGTTCCTAGACCAGCTGGCAGAGTGTCATGGGGACAGTCTGTTCCTGGGACCATGGTCATCTTGATAATTGCATAGCATTACTGTGTCTTATTTCAAAGGCAGTGATCTCTGTTCCATATGGGTTTGTCCAGTGTTAAGAAGAATTTTGCAGTGATAACTGAAATTGTAAAAGATAGCTGTATGTTAGGGGAGGAGTCAGAGGTGGCTGAATGGTGATACTTTACTAAAAATAAAATTTGAATTTTATGGATGTTTTTCTCTATATTTTACAAGTCTTTGTGTCATATTTTAGGCGAGATAGATGTTTATTTTATGGTTAGTAAAACTCACTTGAGAGTTTGAGTAAATCTTTTGGAGTTAATATATGACTAGTAAACAGAGATCTTCATCTACTGAGCGACAGATCCCTCTTTACCCATTTTCTGCAGAAGGGTAAGTGTTCCTCGTAGATTACAAAAGGTGTGCGCTTAATTTTGATGAATCTTTCATTCCTATGATTGCGAGTTTTTGTTTGTCTGAATAGCTTGATGACTTTTGATCCGGTTCCTCTCTGCAAGTTGAACAGAAGGATTTGGCTGGGTTTTGGGTGCAGATGGGAACTGAAGGAATGATGCATCTGTTAGTCCTCTATTGCGTTCTTTCCAGTTACGTGGATGAAGAGGATTACTGGAGAGCTTCAGGTCCAAGGAATGAGAACACCCATCTTTTAACAATTCTTGGTGTCAAAAGTTAGCAGATTTGAAAGCTTAAAACAAAGCTTTGGCATCAAATGAGTTTACAACGTCGCAATGTTTTGGTGCTTTGCCTGCTCACGGAGCCTCTGTAGCCCCTTCGCATCCCCTTCTGAGGAGGTATGACAAACCTCCTGCAAAAGGAACACAGCTGCTTCTCTCTGTGGGACCCAGATGGCGCACAGACGCTCACAGTTTGGAAACAGGATTTAACTTCTTTCTGAGGCCAGCATGCCCCTTACGCTGCGTACAAAAGACCTACCACGGCTAAAGCCATTTGCATTCATGCTACTGCTGCCTGCTCGACCTCTTGGCTGACTCCCAGATTGCTACCCAGGCTGGCACAGCACTGCTGCCTTGGAGCCTCTCCAAGCAGAGCAATAACTGTCAGGGTTGACGTATACTGGTTACCAGTACTCTAGTCAATCCCACTAAGATCTAGCACTGTTACTCCTTTTGTTAAGCCCAAACTCGTCCATTATTCTTGATGCAAATCCCATACGGATCTCAGACGGGACAATAATTGTACAATAATTTTTAGCAGGAGAGCAGGTCTCTTTGACACTGCATTGTGGAGAGAAACATAGAGTTCTGAATTTACTGCCTTCTAAGTAGGAAGATTATCTGATTAAAAACCCTAAAATTTACACCCTAGGTTTAAAGTTTGTCTTTCTCTTACAGCACTTCAAAATATGTTGATGTAGTCTGATCCCTCATCCAGTCCTTAAGTCTAGCGCTCATTGGAAGGAGGACCGCAGATGTTTTAGAAATAGCAGAAATAAAACACTGTGGAAAAGTATTTCATTCGTCAAATATTTGGACAGCAGAAAGTATACTGGTGCAATAGAAGTCCTTCTGGCCAGATTAATTCTGTTGACATTCCCGTTACTGTTCTGATGGTCTACAGTGTCTTTCTGCCCTAAAATAAGCATTTGTGGTATGCACTTTCATTACCACTGCTTCTCACGACAGTAGTAACTGCATTTAAGTAATGTTTAATTTATTTCTAGCCCCATAACAAGTCAGAAATATTTAGGATTCATACTGTCTCTGTATAGTATCTGTACACTGCTTTTACTGTATTCAGGTTTTAAGCCTTCTAGTGAAATATTTTGAACTGTAGCAGAGTATTCTGCGTTTTAAGCATAGCTACTTCTGCTAACCTGGTGTGCACCATACAGGTTTGACTTTTCAGAAGAAC